TGTTACATAGTACAGACATGGCCAAAATTCTGGGTACAGATGACTGAAGCTCCACTTTTAAAAATTATTTCAGTGTCTGATAGATATGTAATGCATTGTTTTCATTGCAGTTGAAACTTCTGGCATGCCTATCCTTCCCCCACTATATCTGTCCCTTTTTTCTCCCAAATCTTCATTCCATCTTTTTCTCTTCCTCTTTCAAGCATACTATATTTGTTTGTTTTCCCCTTTATTTGCTCCTCCAAACTCTAGAGGTGAAGTTCATATTTATCAGTCACATCTGCTGATATATGTTTGTCAGCATCATGTTGTGAAACCATCATATATTCCAAAATCATCCTCTTCAGGGCACAGATGGCGGGCGAAAGCTGTGACCCAATTTTTTCTAGCCTTTTAATTCTTTGATGTTACTCATACTGCAGTCAAAACTTGTTGCATCTTGCAGAAAAATAAATATTTCATTCCTTGCAAATATGCAACATTTACACTTTGCTTGACATCATCACTTGTTGGTGATCATTAACATAAATGTCACCATCATCTTTGTGTCCAAAATCAAAGAAACCACCGATATACATTATACTAGAGTAAGTGCATCGCCGCCTCAACCAATTCACCCAGAAGTCTGGTATCCTCATTTCTCATATACAGTGTAGTAGCCCTCATTCATCAACAACATGTATCATCAGCAACATCTTCGTCGTCGTCATTAACTCTACCAGCATCGTGGCGTATCTCCCTACCACCGGGGAGACTCCCCGGCATACACGAGGCGTGCACCTTGCAGCCTGCGGCGTTTATTACTCCCTGCATTTCAAGTTTCGCATAATCAAAAGCTGTACAAACGCTCATTCTGCATTACCGTGCCTAATGGCACTTGCAGGGCCGTATATGCGCAAGGCTCCTGCCTCCCGACTGTACTGTACGCCACGCGGCTAATCAAATGTGTACTTGTTTCCTCCAGCTTATACGCGCATGGCTGGCGCCCAGGTTTTTCGGGGGGGGGGATATGGACAGGGGAAAAAAAGATCGGCCGGTAAGAATGCAGGAGACAGAGTTGAGTGAATCATCTTGCTGGACGATATGCAAAGGCTCTGGAATTGGAGTCTCTCATAAAAAAAGGAATGAAAAAAAAAGAGTGCCATGAAAATTCAACGCGGAGGGTAGCTCCACTCTGTCGCAGCTGCTAGGTTGCGTATCGCATGCAGCGGACAGGCACTCATGCAGACATGTTTGCGGAAACCAGACAAGTGGGGACCTGTCAGTCATCGCAACCATCTCTCCATTTTCCCCCCCTCCCCTCTGCTGACCACAGGAAGGTTTTCGAATCCTGACAGTGGAAATCATAAATGCAATTCCAGACCAAGGTCGCATCCAAGATGCTGATCCGGGAAGCAGTGGAAATTAGGAAGTATGGGAATTGCCGCTCAGTTGTCTTTTAAATTTACCAATTCTTTTTTTCCCTTAAACTTAAATGTTGGCCTGTAGACTACATTATGCACAATACTATCTCTGTTGGCTATATATTTACCAGTCTCTTGCCATCCAAAAGATTAAAACGGATTATTGAAAGCCTTCATAGGGAAATACCTTCACTTTGAATTGATTCGTGTTCTCTATAACTTCATTGCTGAAAACTCTCAAGGACTTTAGAGAAACAACAGACAAAAATTTACATCAGCCATCATATTGGTTATGGAATATTTATGATGACAATCAAACACGATAGGGGCCCTGCAATTAATTTCCCCTAGAAAATGTTTAATTTACAGGATTTTGTCTGCAAATGCCCCGGTGCCACTAAGCACCACTTGTCCTCTTGTCTGTCTTTCGTCACGGCCGTGGCTTCTTGTCTTGTCACGTCGGATGATCTACCAGCCAACCCCCCCCCACTGCATCTTTGACTCAAATCCTTGAGCTTTAATAGGGGACTGCCATTGATTGCGGACACTCTAAACGAAATTGATTTATCAATTTTGTCTGAACAGGACTGGAACTGTTGCCGGGGTCTACGATGTGTGAGTTCCCCCCCCCTTTCCCCTGCGCCTGCTAAAAATCATTGCAAAAATCATTGTGTCGTCATTTAATGGGGTGTAATACATGTTGATTTGCCCGGCAATCAATGGGAGCCCGGCCTTATTAAAGAAGATTGGGGCGGTGGGACGTGAACGACAACTACAAAATGAGGGTCGTCTGTGCGGACGAACTTGACAGAAATTAGGAGGCTGAGAAAAAGCGCACTTCCTCGTGAGACGTTTGGGTGTGACTTCAGAGTTGTTGAGGAAGTGGGGAAAATACAAAAAGTTTGGGCTGCCAAGTTTAATGCAGGGAGAAAAGGGGCCGTGGAAGTGGCTGAAGTATGCAGCTTGTTCCATTTTGCATGTGGATGAACAGTTGAGGGCACTACCACAATGACAACATGTGGAAAACATGGTATCTTTAACATGTCTTCCAGGAGTTCCTGTGTGCTCAGTGGTATTTCCCTATCATGAACTGCTCTTTGGTATTTACATTTGTGGGGCTGGGTTCCATGCACATGTGTACTTTTCAACAGAATCCTAGCAGACACCTGAGGTGTGTGCAGTAGCACAGTACCACGTACCCAAAGAAGGACGCATACACTATTTCAGGTCCCGTACTGATCATTGAACGGAAATTACAAAATAAAGAAAACATGCAGACAGCGTCAGAGTAAAACAGCGTTAGTACAGCCGTTGGCCATCTTGGTTTTACACAAATGTACATGTACTCCACCTTTGTAGTAGGAGTGCTTGGTATACCTCCCTGTTGACCGTCACGAACATTCAACAGAGAAGGTGTGTGGGTTTTGCCTTATGTATACCAGCATACGCCCTGTGTATATTGTGTTTGACCATGTCGCAGATGCATCACTTGGCCCAAAGTAGTAAGCCATTTTGTCTTAATGTTCTGTACCTTTGTATACCCATGCCAGCCAGGCTATCACAGTGATAAGATCTTTATCTATTCTCTGTGGAACCAGAGACTTTGCATTCAGATTTTTAGCTTTAGATCTTGAGCAGTGTGGAATCATTTAACAGGCCAGTTTATATGAGAGGGTATTTCGGTAGTGGGTTAGGGAGTGGGGGGCACACTTGGTGTGTATACACCCCTCCCCCACTTTTCAATTATTTTTTTTTTAGGGAGAAATCCCTTTGCCCTTTTTTTTTGTTTTTTGCTGTCAACATGGTTAGTTCTAAAACAGAAATTACCAAATACATACATGTATGCTCCCCTTGTACAATGTCTGGGTTCATGTCCATGTTGACACTGTTTCTTTTCGTAAATACTCTTTCTTTTGTAAGTGCTTGATCTTGCCACATGTTATGTACAATAATTTGATGCAGTAAGTAGGAATGCTGACCATCACTGACGTCTAGAGCACAAAGTGTGGAGATTTCTCTTTTATCGTCATGTCTAAACGGAAGTGAAATCAAGACTTAGTATGAACGAACAGCAGAGATACATGTACGCAGCCGAGATAAGAGTAGCATAAGTCTGGCATTATAGCGGCAGAATGGAGTAGGTGTATTGGTAATGTTCCTGAATGGGCATAGTTACAGAATTGTAATGGGGAAAATTTGACGGGGGGTAAGCAGAGCTAGGGATGCCGCTCAGATGGAATTGTTGATCGGAAGGAGAGAGAACCCATGGTGGCCGCCCAGGCAAAATCTCCAGACAAAATTAAAACTGATTGTCAGGTCAGCGTACTTGCGCCCAGGGCACTGACATCGAGTAGGTTCGCTCATTGCATTTGCGACGTTGCCTGCCCCAAAGACACAAATCAGAAACTGTGGGAACACGCAGGCAATGAGGCCAGTGGATGTTTTTTTCACCCTCCGCCACTGAATTAGGCCAAGTTTGAAGGGGGGAGGGGCGTGGCCATTTTTTGAAACCTTGGCTTTAGCAGCAGCTGCAGGCCCCCAGAGCCAGTAAGGAAATCTTGGATGAATGATGGAATCCAACAAATTTGGCTGTGGCTCTGGTTCTCAACTTTCCAGGCATCAATTAACATGCCGGTTTGAGAGCATAGCTACCTGCTGCTGACCATTAAAGGCTGATGGGGGGAAGGGGGGGAGGAGGAGAAGGGGGTGAAAAGGGGCTGTGCCCCCCCCATAGAGTCAATCGCTTTCTTCAAAATGAATCAGAAAAGGGTGACTTTTTCATCTATTAGTCATTTTCTTCTTCCAAAATGCCTGCAAACAGCACCCAAATGTAGCCTTACCCCTCAGAAAGGCCACTGAAGGTCACCTTAAAAAATCTCTAATTTTGTACTCCCCCCCAAAAAAAAACAAGTTGCCTCCTCCCCCAAATGGATCTTGATCCGTCCTTGGCTGTCACTCATGAAGTTAGATGATAAACCTGAGCCAAAGTTTTGAAAAAAGCGAAGGATTACATTTTTCCTGGTCTTTAGTTGAAAAGATACACGGTAGTAAACATACATTGTACATGTACATGTACCATTAGGGTCTGATGGGTGATTGGATTTAACTCTGTTTTCTACACATTTTTTAAGATTACTAGGCTAAAAGCTGGTGTAATTACTCATGCCAGTCTAACTTGTGTGTGCTCTGTTAAAGCCCCTGAAGTTGAAAATAAAATTTAGTTGATTTTTTAAGAGGTTTGAAGTCAGAAATGTTGAAACTTAAACACCTCAGCAATGACGCGGGTATATGTGTGTACCAGATATGAAGCCTATATACGAGAAGGTCGCCGGTGAAATGGTTCCCTGACACTTGTTGAATGCTTGTAACATACCTTTTTTCTTCCAAATTAACAAATGTTTTTGTTGTTGTTCGCTTTTGTTTGTTTTTTTGTCATTATTCGTCCTTGCCGTTGTTGTAATTAACCAAACGACTCCTCTGTGCATACATCTTCTGCCTAGTTTTAATGTCAGATTGCCTCATCTGTCCATCTTCTATTTTGTGATTTCCTCCATCCTAACTTATGTGTTCCCTTTTCTGTTTCTCCCGTTTCCATAGTTACACACACAAGGCCTGCAGGTATGTACCACAACCAAATTTCTTCTTCAGCCTTTCTTTTTCTTAAATGTTTAAACTGATTTGATACAAATTAAAATTAAACTTGAAATGTTGGTATTTAAATCAGTTGATGCTGATTTGACAATTAAGCAGGCTGTTGCGCATCGTGAATGATTTGTTTGGCATTGAACTGCCTCATTGATGACAAAGTAAGGTGCTTCTTTATGGGAATTTTAGGGAAGGAAAAACACAGCAATTAATTGCTTAATTTTTGTTGAGAAAATGTCTGTATTCTCTTGATTTACTACACTGTGAAAGGTCATGCATGCTGGTTGGTTCTCAAGACAGTTTTTGGAAAACCATTCTTTCCAATTTTCGTTAACTCGTTTCGTTTCGAAAATTGCTAGGGAAGCTCACAGGTAAAGTTGGTGTCTGATTTTACAGGGGTGTAGCTTGATCATCAAAAATAGTGCAAACAAACCCAAAATGAAAAAGAAAGGAACTGTAACTATAAAAATAGAAAAATACTAGACCCTTAGGTTTGCAGTTTGGGAATGACAGGTCAATTAAAATTCTTTCAGAACATGATTTTCACAAAGTGGAGGAAAATCTACATGCCTTTTGGATTTACATGAATATTATGCATGGAGTCTTTGTGTATTATTCCCAATGTGTCACACTTCCCTTGATGTTGATCTAAAGTTCTTTTCATTTTGTTTTTTTGGTTTTTTGGTGGGCCATTTGTGCATATCTGGCTGGCTGCTCACCATTCTTGGACACACAGTTGGTAAATTCATTGGCTCTGCTTTCTCCTGTCCTGTTCCATCTTTTGTTTCTCCCTTCCATTTTACGAGGGTCCTTTGGGATTTTTTCATCAAAAATAAGTGCTTCCAGCCGAAGTAATGTACTTGCTTAGACCTGATGCACTTGTCTGTTTCTGATAGCTTGATTTCTTTCGGGGGAGCCAAGTGCAGTGAACATAGGTGTCTGATGTAAGAAATTTAAGTAAACAGGGTTTTGGGGGTAGTTAGAGTCTTACATTTCTTTTGATGTAACTTCCCCTTCATTTGGGGAAAACCTTACAGGGAGAGACTTCTCAGGGGTGGAATGTTTGGGAAATGAGATCGGCGACACTGCAGAAGTTAGTCAGAAGATGTCTGGGCTCTCAAAACATACAAATGCCATGTTTTGAATGTCTTGCAAAGACACCTCAGGGCATTCAGCCAGGCGTCAGTAATCCACCGCGTAGCGTTCTGAAATATTAATGAGTCACCAGGGAGAGAGATCTCAGTGGCGTGACAATGGCGTGGCCATGAAGGAAGAGAGTTGGCTTTTGTTCCTGGACGACACGCTGGAGTCACATTGTCAGGGATATACATGCACAGGGAATAATTCTGATGGTCTTTTTTTACTTTTATTATTGATTTTTAGCTCTGTTGTGGTCATGTTTGGGTGGATGCAGTAGTTGGTGTCGTCGGATTGGACAAGCAGATATTGTGGTTCAAATGTGAAAAGTGGACATGTATGTACAGGCTTTTACATTTTTATTGTGAGGACATATTGGAAGGTTTTGACCACTGGAGACTGAGGACTCTTAAACATGGAGTAAAAATAATGTTCAGGTTATAGCTTGGTGCTCAAGTGGAAATAAGTTTGATTCAGAGCTAAAAGTCATAAATGCCCCATAGAATATTTTCAACTGAATTGCTTGAAACTGATGATAAGACGTACAAGTTAGAAATGGACCTGTTTTGTAAAATGCCTAATTGATGAGTAAACTTCTCAGGCTATGGACATATTGCCCTGTCCACTGACAGTCAGATTTCTAGACCCATATTCCGGAGTGGCATAGACTAAGTCAGCATTAAAGGCCCAGATATCAAAGTTTTTAACTAATGCTAAGTTGATCAACTCGTGGCATCTCTCTATTTGACCATTCTGATCCTTCTCCCTTGGTGATCATTAGTACACATGGACAACCCACAAGGCAAGTCTGATTAAATATGCAGGACCACACTCCCAAACAATTTTTTTTAAGAAGACAACAATTCCACCACTTTTTTTTGGCTCCACTTCCCCCCTTCCCTCACTGTGTTCTCTTCCCAGAGATGGATTGGTCAAGCAGGACCAAGAATTGGGAGGGGGATGGTAGTGGTGGAAGAGAAGAAGCGTCTATAGTAAGTCTATCAAGTTCATCTACCTAGGGTAGTCCTATTCAATTCAGCACGATCGCCGTGAAAGGTGACCTTTTTCTCAAACCTTCTGCCGGAGAATTGGCCGGGTTGGGTTACTGCGCGATCTCCATATTTGCCGTCCCCAGGCCATTAGCGCCACTGCGTACATTTCCTCCTTGCTCTGGCCATGCACTGTTTTCCCCCCCTCTCTCTCACTGTCTCTCTCTTTCCGTCATCTTCGCTCGTCTTGCCCCCCCTTTACGAGTCCACCGGTCGGATATCGTTGGCGCTTAATGGCCCGGTAACGCATTCCGGGCACGTGCAGTGGCTCGGGTGAAATGCACGCGGTTCAGATGCATGCAGTGGTCTATCGGAACTCTCAGGCCCTGGCCGATGGCTTCCTGAATTGGGGATATAGGTGGTTGGGGGGGTCTGGTTGTCCATGCTTCTCAGTGGATAAACAGAGGGTCCTTCATTGAGCATCGATGGAGGCAGAGGACCCTTCTCGCATCCGATTGAGATGGGCTAAGGAGGCTCAGAGAGGATACCTTCATGGAATGTGTCTTATTTCATTGTGTGTGTGTTTGGTCTCGATAGATCAATGCCTGGTTGTTCCTTTGCATTTTACGTTAAAGGGTCTTCTGTAAATTGTATTGAGTAGGCTTGAATCACACCAATAATTTGCATACACATTTACTTCAATGTGAATTGAAAATGAAATTTTTGTCCCCTGTCAGTGGATGGTTATCCAGTGGATTTTTTTGTTAGTTTAGAAAGGCACTGCCCTAGAGTGTGTCAGAAAAGTATTTGAAACTTCTCGTTTTTTGAATTAGTAAATTGAAAACCAGTAAATTTTATTTCTTGCTGTTACAAAAGATGAACCCTTTTCCCAACACAAACGGAGATAATCATAGTTAATGGATCAGTTTCCATGATATTTGTTGCTTAAAGCAAGATTCAATGGTGTACAGTCTTGGTTGTGAAACCTTTGAGCAGCTTCAGGTATCTAATAAGTACATGTACCAGGAAACATGGCATTGCTTATGCTCAGTAACAAGCGACAACTTCTAAAGAATATCTGTTTTTCACCTTTGTTGTTACGTGGTTTTTGGTGCTGATTACATTATTCTGTTCATGATTTAGAAAACTGTGAAGGCATTTACTGTTTCCCTGCAAATAACAAAAAAATGACAGCAAATGGTTTTCTCCCCATAGACAAATTCTGACAATAATTTCCATTTTTGCCTGAAAAACTCATTTGCTACTATTACATGCCATATGCCATTCAAGAAAGTGCTTTCTTTTTTATTATACACTCACAGATTGCAATTTGCAATGAGTTTTGAAATTAGACATGTACTGGAGATGCCATTATTTGAAGTGAGTAACTCATTTGACTTTTTTTCAAAAGGTGGGGGTAATGCTGGACAATCAGCAATTCAATTTGAAGAAGTGCTTTTGATGGTGTCACTCCAAAGACATTTGTATTATGGGCAAATCCCCATGTTGTGTCAGCAAAGCTTTGGTTTGGTAATTACTCTTCAGAGTGAAGGATGGTCTTGTGAAATCGACTCAGTGTCTGAGGACAGCCAGTTGTGTTATTAGAACAGGAAGTTGAGTTACAGAAACTTGAGGGAAGGACAAGTGGGACGATGTGGTAGTGTGGGTTGTCTGGAGTGCATTTGGTTCCAAACAAAAGTGGGGATTTGGACTCTCAAGACGTGGCTAGTCTGCTGCTTGTAGTCACTGCTAAGATTCAGCACTTTTTGTTCCATTCGTCTCGTGTCTTCTCACACCCCTAGGCTAGCAGGCGCTTGTGATGGTACCTTAAAAAAAAATAGGGAAAGTCGTTTCTTTTGAGCACATGATGACAGTTGAAGAAGTGGCGTGCTTCAGTGGACAGTAATTAGGTCATGATGTTATGCAGAAAAGTGTCCACGCTGTGCACCAACGCCGACGGCTGCTTGAAAGCTAACACTCTAGAAATGGAGGGAAAATTGATTTTTTTCCCCTCCTTCCACCCTCTGCATGCTTACTTCTTCTGCAGACATTAACTTCCCCCCTTAACTCGGAAAGCGCCTGGCGAAAATGATATTACCTAGAATTGCTTAAACCGAGTTGCATGATTAGACGAGCCTATACGTGTCTGGCTTCAAGTCATATTCATTCAAACTCCTTTTTATTTTCCTTCTTTTTTTCCTTTCCTGGTTTGCAAGAGGGTTTTTTGGGGGCAGCAGAAAGGAAAAGTGATACCGGGGCGAAGTAACTTTTGGGCATGGCGACTAATTACAGAGCTGATTCCAAACTTGATTTGGATAGATTGGTGTGCATTTGTAATCCTATAGCAGAACGTGCTGGGCGCGCTGAGTGGTAGTGTGGGATAGCTGCTGGATATCGGATATCTGTTTGCACTATAAATAATCGATAATATCACTCAAATCATTTTGATATTAAATTTGCTGAAATCTGGGAGGCTTTTAAGTTGGGCCTGGCAACCACTGGGGATATTGTGAGTTGAGAGAGAAAGAATGCACATCAGAGAAAGGGATCACGGTCTATTTGGAGACAAATAGCCAAGTACAAGGGTGTGTTTGTGTGCTTCAAGAAAGCTGAAATTCTAACACTGATAGTTATGGAAGAAAAACAAATTGATTTCATGAGGAGTGACTGCTGTACTTTAAAAATTACACCCCTTGTAGTACAAATGGAATGATCCTTTATTTTAGCAGTGTCATCTCCAATGCTTTGCGCTTTGGTCCACAGCAAACCCGAAACCCACGGGCAGAAATCTGGAAAAAATTTACTGTTTTCTCCCGGGACCATTTATCGTGAAGTTTTTTAGCTTAT